TTTGCATATTTTATTCGTTTGAGCTCAAACTTGGCAGGATGGTAGAACTCTGTATTCCAAAAAATCCTATGTTTTTTGTTTTTCGATTTTAACGGTTTTTGGCGGAAAAATGACGTCACAAGATTGACAGCAAAATTAAAATTTTAAGATATGGCAACAAAAATAAACAATTTTGAAAGAACATTACGTGATAGAAACAAATGTGAAAAAATTTTTGGAAAAGCTCAATTAGTTTAGGAGATATAGCATCTTGAAATGTCCTTATGTTTCTAAAAATAGTAACAAAATGGCGGGAAATTCAAAAATCAAAGCTTAATAACTCGCCAACCGATTGAGTTTTTGAAAAAATTTTTTCACATTTGTTTCTATCACGTCACGTTCTTTCAAAATTGTTTATTTGTTTTGCCATACTTTGAAATTTTAATTTTGCTGTCAATCTTGTGACGTCATTTTCCCGCCAAAAACCGTTAAAATCGAAAAACAAAAAACATAGGATTTTTTGGAATACAGAGTTCTACCATCCTGCCAAGTTTGAGCTCAAACGAATAAAAAATGGAAAAGTAGTTACTACCTTGCAGCTTTTTGCATGTGTCCTGGCCCAGCGTGTCTTCAATGTCCTCGACACCAAACGTCCAGTTCTTGCTAATGGGAAGTGAAACCAGTTTGACCTTTTCATTGCCTCGGCATTGTGATCAAACTCAAAATCAAATCCATTCTTTTGAAATATTCCCACGTTGTCCATAAGAATAGCTTCATTGGCAGCGGTTAGTTCAAGCTTCTGGGGAACAATAAGACGTTGGGACTTAAATGTCGTGTTCCTCTGTTGATCCTCAAAGTTAAATTTCTCATCTGAAGCATGCTGGTCGATTATGAACAAATCATTTTCCAGTTTTGCGATGATAAAACCCAGATTAAATTGACCCAAAACTTCCATACCCTTGAACATATCTTTACTAATATTTTTGGTTAGTTCTTTCTCAGCACTGGAATTGCTCTCTGGTGCTATCTTCGCTCTAAACAAACGAGCTTCTACTTCTTCTGTTTTCTGTCTCGTTTGTGCCGTAACAACGCTTTTAAGTTTATTCGTACTGAAACTCACTGTTGTTTCCTTTCTGTTTCATACCATCTCTGACACCTGATCATGAGTTTGTTTTTCGGTGTTGCCAAGTTTAGGAAGAACCAGACTGAGTATTGTTTTGCAAGATGCGTTACTTGAATTATCTTTAGCCTGGCCTAAAAAGTGTTTGATTAGTTTTATCGAAACGCTCTGAATCTATTTCTTGCTGGACGTCTTTCTGAGAACTAAGTTCGTCATCATCAGATTCGCTTACAGAAATGATATCATCCTTTACTTCAACAACTTCAATGTCAGTTTTTTTTGCTAACAGTATATTGCTATCACCAATATTTTCAGCAACAGCATAAACATGCCCACCATCTGTTTCCACAGACTCTTTGCTTTTCAGCCTAGACAACGAGTTTTTCCCCATTTTTTCATTTTATCCCGCGTGAATATGCTGCTGAGCTTCACCTGCTTACAGCTAGGCTTATTTGGTTTCTCAACCACATCTTGGTCAACTGATGAAATCTTCCTCTTGAAACTGCTATAGCGATGGAATTTCCCTTTCTCGATATGCGTCCTTGTTGGTACAACTGAAGCAGGTAGATCTGATACCTTTTCATCTTGCTTGATCTCAGAGCATTGAAGGTTGTCATTTTCATGGGAGTCACCAGTGCAGTTTCTAGGAACGAACGTAGAGGCTGACAGTTTTATTTTTTAAAATACTTGGTTGACTTGTATAGAAATGAGTCCTGAGCAGTGTGACTAGTTCTGAACAGCTTTAGACTCGATTACCAAACGCTGTTTCGGAAAGGAGCCCTTTCTCTGAGAGGAACACGTACAACGCCGAACCCTACAGATTCGAGCCTCAAACAACTAATGCCCTGCTGTACGAGGCCTTTAACAAACGTCTTGGCCCTGGGAGCGGGAAAAATAGCGGAGTTTTAACACCAGGCCAATGCTTAATTTCCCGCTAAGTTCCGGGGGTCGCGGGGGGGGGGGATGAGTTTCAATAGCGTAGCGCGCGAATGACGTCAGAGTGACTGATTTGCAATTTTTGTCTGAGTTTTGCCATTTTCCTCATTTTAACGACAAAAGTCAGACAAAAGCGAGGAATTCGCTAAAAATTAATTTCAGTTTGTTTGTCTGAGTTTCGAGTCTATAAATAGTAACTGCACGCAGCGCTACTGACTGATACATAAGCGCTAATGAAAAGCGGTTTGAGAACGTATGATTTGGCTCGATAATGTGTAATTGTGCCTATGATAGTCTAGACTGCTTGCAGTCCGCCTTTTCTCCTAAAATCCGCCCAGTCCTTATCTCATCCAGCGCGATTGCAAACCACGATGTTATTATTTAGGGATTGAGACGAGACAAACGGCCTCGCCGCTCGCGTGTTTAGGTTTCTCGCGCAGTAACTTTGCAAAGAAAAAGAGGAGACTGCTCGCAGTCTAATGATAGGCAGTATAAAGACCTCTATAAAGTGAGTGGGTTGCAAAGTAGCCTGTAGCATGTTAAGTTTATGGAATTATAGGAGTACAAAGTGTAAAAATTTATCTGTTAGTTTGCTGCACCGTATAATTTAATTTTGTTGTTTAATATTATTTCACTTTTAAATGAGCTTTCGGCTGTGACGTTAATCAGTCAATTTCCTTTCATAGAGAGGCAGATAGGGTTCAACGAACCTGTCGATCCGAATCGATCCGTACGTGCTAATGATCATGAGTGGGTAAAAAAAACATTAATAATTCCTCATGTTTTATTTTCCTACACGTCTACTTTCTTTTGTAAGCATCAACTTAAGATACCTTTAAAAAAGTTCACCAGATTATATCACTTAAGGCTCCAACGGAAGAACTGGCTTTGAATGTTTATTTTAACTTAAAGATTCTAATTGGTAGTTCTCGAGCGGACTCTTCAGCATTGCAAGAAACTAATCATTTACATTTACGTCATAGAGCGGGTGAATAGGCGAACGGATCGGCGGATTTTGAAAATGTTTTTGCCGAGATTTCTGATTCAAAGCGAGAGTTTAACGGATTTCCGGATCCTGCAATTGCAGCGGATTGAGGATTCATCTATTTTTTGGGGCCCGGATTTTGCACTTTGCGTGTAATTCAAATATTTTTGCCGGGATTTCGGATTCAGGGCGAAAATGGAAGGGCGAATTTGGTTAATAAATCATAACGGATCGGCGGATTTGCATACCCCTATTCACCCCCCTCGTCACACATCACGCTACCAATCAGTTGTGTATTTTAACAAAATGAAAATCTTGAGTTATCTTGCTTTTCTATCATTCTTTGTTGGGAAATTATCTGACGGAATCCGGCTAAAGAAATTTCTTGACAACATGTCGCAGGAAGGTGCAGTGAGTCCGCTGAAACCAGCCGATGCAGAAGTGCAAAAGATTTGCGATCAGGAATCAGTTTAAGCTAGCATATGAGGCAGCTCCCTCATGAAATCTTACTTCTTTCTCCGCTTAACTTTGAAATGCCTTGTTTGGCGATAGCGGACAACCCGAGTAACCCAAGGTGGAGAGCATGCGTACCTATTATCGTGAGCTTAAGTCAAGACGCGACCTTCGAAAGTATAAGGACTGATTTTGCATGCGATAAAAAGATACAGTAAGTTATTTAATCTAAAACTAGCCCTTATATATATTTCCGTGTTTCTTCAGGTCGTCAGTTGGTTTGAGCGAAATGCGAGAGCGCGGCGAGAAAGGTGACACTCGGGGGTTAAGACAGAAACATTATATTTCCAGCTTGGGCCAGCCTGCGTAGCAAGCGTTTCACGAACGCGCGTAAACGCTTGCTATGCAGGCTAAGCTTGGGCTGACGACTGTACTGAGAACCTTTCCGAAGCCTTGTAAAGAAACAATGAATAATTAAATTATTGCCAGTATATTTGATGCGATGGAAGTACATTCAGTACATTTGGTTGTAACCATGATATTAATTATTGTTCCAAACCCTCATGCATGACTTTTGTGATTTAAAATGAAGAAAACAAGGGGAAAATGAGTCAAAGGCTTCTGGCCAGAATATTATTGTTCATAGTAGAACTTCGATATTGCTGGTTTGAGTGTCACGCCATTCAAAATAAATCAAAATCAAAATCAAAACCATTCGATAGATAAAGTCCAGAATCTGGGAAATGAAACGAGTAAATATACAAAGACCCTCGCCAAGATTTGGGTCGAAGGAATGATTCGTATACGAGAGATCCGAGGAAATGTTTTACCCAAATTTATAGAGCTTTGTATGGAGACGTCATGCTGGAGCTCATCCGGATGAGCTCCAACATGGCGGACGGAAACCAACAGAAACATCTGTTACCGAGTTTTGCTACAAAGGCGTGAATTTACTCCTAGAGGAACTCATAAACATTAAAGTAATACTTTTTCTAATACTTGAACTGTTTAGATAGCAAAATTCCTCGAAAAAATTCACTGACAGCTATTTCGGCCGTCATGTAAATACTGCGTCACGCAAAAGCTTAGAAATTCAAGCGTACTCTATGACAAAGCAAAGAATCCTTTTGAAGCGAAAATTTGTTTGAAAATTAGTTTTCAGTTGCTCTAATACACCATGAAAGTAAAATTTCAGTAGGATGGATAGTTTTGTAGCTTGAATTTTAGTGACGTCATGTGAAAACCAACAATAACGAAGGGCCAAAGGATAGACAAAATATGTTCACTTAGACAAGGTCTTGTTATATCGAGGTTATTTTAATTCATATATTTTACTATTACTGGAGTAAGAACAACCGTTCGTTATACTGAAGACTTCGTTGCATCGAGGTTCGTTATATCGAGGTTCCACTTTAAATAGGTAGATGGCACCATCACAGCAGAGGTGGGCGAGGTATAGTTAGGACGTATATAACTGGGGTCTTACGGTATATATTTCACACCTCTTTGCTAACAAGGTGAAAAACTATGAACCTCAACTTGCCTCCCCAACAGGTGGAGCTCCAAGCAGAGAAAATGGCAGGGCAAGACTTTCCAGAATTTAAAGCCATATCATATAAAACTGAAGTTGTAGCTGGAACAAATTACTTCATAAAGGTTAGTCAAAAAAGTTCCACACCTACCCCTTCCCTAAGCCAACATTAACACTTACTTCTCACTTAGAACAAAATGTTGGCTCAGGGGAGGGGTAGGTGGGCAGTTTCCCAGGAACGAATAATGATCTCAATGTACGCCGGATCTGCAGTCAGTCCCACATTGTACTTATTATGACATCCACGAAGGAGTGGTGAGTGGGGGTAGGGAAATGGAAAGCATTGTGTTTGCCAATTATTATTCAATTACATAATAATTCCTGTTAGTATAGGTAATAGCATGATTTGAAGTGTATTTGCCATAAATACCACTGGTGATATTTCGAAATTGTTATACGTAATTTCACAAGCCATTAGGCGAGTGAAAAATGAGACAGGTTTGAAATATCACGAGTGGTATTTATGCCAAATATCACGTTCAAATCAAGCCATTATTGGTTTATACTCTACCCGCAAAAGGTTTGTAATTTTTGCATGTGGTTATTTCAAATTATCATATGCCGAAATATCACTGCTCTAAGCAATCAAAAGCAGAAATTTCTCCTGTATTGGTATAATAAAGTTATGTCAAGCGTTGTCTGTTTCCATAATCACTTAATATTCTCACAACACAGCATTCCAGTCAAACTGCCGATGCGGTATTACTTTCATAATTTTTGAATAAAAAAGGATAAATAGTTTAAAAATGAGGTTTTGTTAAGACATTGTCGCCCTAACTCAACAACAGCCCCACACTTCGCCGCCAACGTAACGCTTTCGGACGTGAGCAATGGATGCAGGGCCACTGTGGAACTTAATTTTCACCCGATGTAAGGGAATCGAGATTACGGAATCCGAAAACTTTTTGCTCATGGAATCCGGAACACAGCTCAAGGAATCCGGAATCCGACTAACCATCGGAATCCGGAATCCAAGTTCCACTGGAAACGTCAGGAATCTAGTACCTGGAATCCGGAATCCACGCGCGGAATCCAGAATCCAAGACTGTCTTGGATTCCCTTACATGGGGTGGAGAATTCTTCAGAGAAGGGTACAGCTTAGTTAAAGGGGCTCTGTCACTAAATTCAGCGAAAGATAAGGACCTCTCGCTGGTCTCGCACAGAAGGCCGTACGCATTTCCGTTTTTTTCTGGAATCGGTGTCAAGTATTACCCATCATCCTCGCTTTCATGCTCTCTTATATAATTATCTGTTAGAACGATTGTGTGTGATCACAAGCTCCTGAGCTCAACTAAAGGTTTTGATATCTTAAACAGAAACTCAAGAGTAATATTGGATCAAAATTCCACATTCAATGAAAAGATATAACATTAATTTTATTAGATCTTTTATTAGTGTCCCCTGGATTTCGCTATCAAGTTGATTTTTTTTGTATCGACATTTCAACATTTTGAATACTGAAAGTTCATAACTGACTCATACATTACATACTGGATCTACAGTGCAATCTCGATTTCTCGAACTCTAGGTGTTTCGAGACCCTGGATAATTCGAACTAAACCTAACTTTTTTTACGAGCCACACAGTGTAATTTTACCCCCGATTTTTCAAACCTCCCTATCATTCGAGCCAATTTGATTTGCCAATGTGGTCCGATAAATCGGGCTTCCACTGTATACCTTACTCGAGGGTGGGTCCTTTAAATTGTTAAAATATTTTACCCACAGGTTTATGTTGGCGGTTCTTCCTACGTTCATTTGCGTGTTTTCCAGTCTCTGCCATTTGATGGATTACCTCCTAAATTATCTGCTATCAAGACAGGAATGACCAAGGACGATCCCATCACCTATTTTGACTAAAGTCCACACAAGTTCTACATCAAGACAAAATTCAACCTCGCACCTAGCTTTTTTAACTCGCTAACTACGTCATTAATGACGCAGTTGATGAAAAACCTCGTTCCAGGAGTCCTTCTTTTTGTCTTCTGTGTACGACTCAAGCCTGACGTAAATGAAAAAGAGAGATCCTGGGAACAAGGCCAGCTCACAAAAACGAGGTTGGACAAAAAATAACAGTGACTGGTGATGTAAGCATTTTGCAATAATGTTAAAGTAAAAAGTAAGAAACTATTTTTTTGCTTTTGTTTGATCGTTTGCAAAGACTTCTTAGAACTTAAATTAACTGACTGAAGGGATAGATTAAACACGTTGTGTCTACTTGATGGTTGTAAGTAAAACTTTGCAATGCCTGGAAAATGTATCACTTTCAAGCCACACCAAAGTGTATTTTCACGGTACATGCATACAAGATCGCCGCGGTAAAAATTTCGAGGTTACATTCCACACATTTTGTCGAAATTACGGTGCACGCGTTTACTCAGAATGTCTCCTGACTGGATTAAGTTTGATACACAACTGATCATATCTGTTCAGTTGCTAATAAGAAAAAGGAAAATAGAAAAAAACTCTTGCGTTTTTAAGAAAAAAAAAGGGAACAACCAGCCAAACGAGTCTGATAGGATATGAAACAAAAATTTTCAAGTTTTTACTGTGTCAAGACCATGGGCAAAGCTTTTTAACTATATCAGCATCAAGGACATTTCTTACCACAAAAAGAGGCAGCATTCACCAACTCCGGCAGTATGACTATTCCTTCGAATTCTTAGCAAACTCGATGAAAGAACTATGCCAGTTAGCCTTTCGGCTTTAGAAATCAGCTTTATGGGGATTGAACAAGAAGAATTAGCTATTATTCCTTTCTTTTACAGACCTTGTAACGTTCAGTGTACAGTGCAGGGGATGCGGAGTATGTTTATTATGTGTACATTTTGCGACTTACACACCCACAGCATGTTGCTGTTTCAGGAGACACTAGGAAAAGGATTCATCCATCATGCAGTCGGTCGGTATTTTCATATGTTCATGATAAGCTCGCGTAAGTTTCGAGCAAAATGCCTTCCCGGTTTGCTGCCGTAACAAACAAAGAAATTTCACAACTAATCAAGCAAGCTGTTCCCGAAACACACGAAGAAGGTGACGAAATTCGGGTTGGAAGTTTTAACAGGTAAAGCTGTGTCTTTTTTCTGACTTAAATTTATCGATAAAACCGGCGAAAAAGTTTTTTGTTTACAAATGCAAATTCAGCTTAAATCTTGCGTTACTTTATTTAGTTGACTTGTTCATAAATAAGCTTAAAACTAAATTTAATAACCTTTTTTACAGAATGATTTTAAACAGAAAAATAGTTCACAACTCCTTTTGAGGAAATTTCCCCGCAAGAGGTAAACAAATGCCTTCAAAGGTTTTATTTGTCGGCAAGAAAAAGCGACGACCGCGGCCGTTCGGTCATTGCGCGCCAAAATTGTAGTCGTTGCAGGCAACAGTAAATGAGTTAAAAATCATCATTTTTGTGCTCAATTATCTCACTGTTTTAGTACATATATAAGAGAATATAGAACAATTATTCACCTCAGTGTCGGTGGCTAGTGGTTTCATATGGAGAATTCTAACAACGCCCTTACTAGGCAGTTCATTGAAATTCTTGAAACCTTTGATCTCAAACAGCATGTCTTTTCTGCTACTCGTGCGAGTGGCCACACCCTAGATCTGCTAATAGCAAGATTAAATGAGGAACTTGTAAGAAATGTTAAGATCCTTGACCCGATGGTCTCTGATCATCTTACAGTATTCTGTATGTTATCTCTCAAAAAACCTCAGTTCAGGAAGAAAGTTATCAGCACTCGAAAATTGCGCTCCTTGGATATTGACTCCTTTCGCGAGGATGTTCGTAATTCTTCTTTAGTTGAAGGAGAACCCATTGACTTGGATAGTGCAGTTGCTCAATATGATAATGGTCTTCGATTGCTGTTGGATCAATACGCCCCCGCTAAAAAGCGTTTGGTGACAATAAGACCTTTTGCACCATGGTATTCGCCAATAGTTGCTACTAAAAAACAGAAAAGACGTCGCTTAGAGAGAAAATGGCGGAAGACACGCCTACAGAGTGATAGGGAAGAGTACCAGTATCAGTGTTGTGTTGTCAACGAGTTGATTAGTTCACTGAAATCTACTTATTATACATCATTAATTAATGAGCATTCCTCAGATCAAAGAGTGCTGTTTAGAACTGTAAACAAGCTTATGCAGAAATCTCATGAGACGCGTTATCCACCTTCTCTTAGCAATGCTTTACTTGCTGATTCATTTGCTGACTATTTCACTGCCAAAGAGATCTATTGCTAGCGGATGATAATGAATTGCTTACCAACGCTGCTGAATTAAATAACTTTCATGATGTCAGTCAAGAAGACGTCAAGGAATTTGCTTATAAGCCTTTAAGCAAGCCCTGTTGTCTTGATTCTCTGCCAGCATCACTACTTAAGGATTGCTTCCCTGTACTCCTACCTACTATTACCAGGATGGTTAATTTGTCATTGACAACTGGTTTTATGCCTGATGCCCTAAAGATTGCTTCTCTTTCACCTACTTTAAATAAACCAACTGCTGACTTCAAGCAGTTCACAAACTTTCGGCCAATCTCAAATTTACAGTTTATTTCTAAGCTGGTTGAAAAGTCTGTTGCAGTTCAACTGACGAAACATGTTATGACCTACCATCTTGACGAGACGTTTCAGTCAGCATACAAAGAATTTCGCTCAACTGAAACAGCACTACTTAGAGTACATAATGACATCTTGTGTTCTTTGGATCAAAACAAGTCGGTCATATTACTTTTATTAGACCTTTCAGCAGCATTTGACACGGTGGATCATGCAATACTAATATCTCGACTCTCGAACCGTTTTGGGGTGAAAGGAACTGCATTGGCCTGGTTCAAGTCCTACTTAACCTCCCGCCAACAGTTTGTTGATGTAGAAGAGGGCATGTCATCAAGGTGACCGTTGTTGCGTGGGGTGCCTCAGGGGTCTCTACTGGGCCCACTGCTGTACATTGTCTATACTGCGCCGATTGCTGATATCATCAAAAAGCATGACTTACTATACCATCTGTACGCTGATGACACGCAACTATTTATTTACTTCCATACCGATTGCTGTGCTGATCTTGGTGAGGCAAAGTTGCGTGTTGAGCGTTGTGTTGAAGAAATTGACGTTTGGATGTGCAAAAACCTATTGAAACTTAATCAAGACAAAACTGAACTTGTCGTCATTAGCTCCAAATTTCCAAATATACCAAATCTTGAATATGTTCGGGTTGGTGATGAGTTCATTGCCCCTAATTTGTCTGTACGTAACCTAGGAGTCATCATGGACAATTGCTTTTGCATGGAACAACATGTAAAAAAGATATGTGTTGAGGCAAATTATCATCTCAGGAATATATCAAAGATCCGCAAATATCTCACCCAGGACTCCGCTCAAATTCTCATCCATGCTTTTATTAGTTCTAAGCTTGACTACTGTAACTCACTTCTATATGGTATTCCAAAATACTTAGTTTGTAGATTACAGCGTGTTCAGAATACGGCAGCACGCATTGTCACCTTAACAAGGAAGTACGATTCGATTACCCCAATAATGTTCAAGCTACACTAGCTCACCGTACATTCACGTATTATTTTTAAGCTCCTGTTATTAGTCTATAAAGTACTCAATGGCAAAGCACCCTCTTACATTTCTAGTCTCCTGAGCCACCGTAAGTGCTTTCGGTCTTTACGCTCCAGTGGGCAAGAACTGCTTACTGTGCCACTGGCTAAACCATGTAAAGACTTATGGAGATCGGGCGTTCAGCATTGCTGAGTTAAGGCAATGGAATAACTTGTCTCTTAGCATTCGTATATATCCATCAATTGCTATTTTTAAAAGACATTTGAAGACTTAGAAGCCTATGGTTTTTAACTTTTATTTTTTATACACGCTGTTTTTTTTTTTATTTCATTCATTATCTGTAATTTTATCTTAGTATTTTTTGATCTTAGATTTTTAACTTTCATTTTTTGTATAATGTATATATATTTTTTAAGCTTTGTAACTAATTTATCTCGGTATTTTATTATATTTTTTAGCTTTTAGGTTCTACGTTAACCTGATCATTGTAAAGCGCTATGAAAGAGTAGTTGAATAGCGCTATATAAATTATTATTATTATTATTATTATTACTATCTGACTGAGCTCCGCCTGCCACTCAGGCAGTCGGTCAGCATTACATCCCATCGGCTGTAGCCCCTTTCTCTCCTTATGAAATTTACTCAAGGTAGAACTGTTTTCTGCTTTTATATCACACTTAGATGATATTTCAATCTGGAAATGTTCATGAAAGTGCAAGTCTCTTCAATTTGAAAGAAAAAGAAGAATTGATACGAAAGACAGTAGGATTCGCACCCACGACCCAGGTGGTCCATTATACTACGCTAACCAACAGACCACTGAGGATTTGCTGGATAGGAGTGAAGCAATTTAAGTACATATATCATCAACCCCAACCCCAAAAAAGAACCTAACCAGTTTCTAAACAGTGCTTAACCCTAATCAGTAAAGGAAGTGCTTAACCTTTATCAGTAGAGGCAGTGCTTAACCCTAATCTGTAAAGGCAGTGCTTAACCGTGATCTGTAAAAGGCAGTGCTTAACCTTAATTCGTAAAGCAGAAAACTACGTCGTGTAAAATTCATGAGGTGTCCGAAGGGGCTACGCTCGGTAGGATCTAATAATAGTAACCCAGGCAATCACGTAATACGCTATTTCCTAGTTGCAAAAACTCTCAATCTGAAAACGGGTCAAGTGAAAAATCTTTCTCGTGAAAATTAATTTTATTTGCATGAGAATGAAAAAAATCATTTTTGTGTCAAAAAGCTTCGCACTTAGCCTCGCTTTGAAACCGGAAGCTTGGTGCAACTCGGAA